AGATTATAGAGACGCATGAGATTACATTGTTCACCCTCTCTGCTAGGACCTGGATCATGAAGTCATGACTGAGAGGGGAGCTCTTGCTTTATCTTGTCAGATGTCTCCTTAATGTACCCCTCAGTTACACAACCGCCCCTTGCACCCGTTCAGTTGTGAGGAGGCTGGTCCCCTGCACTGTTGTAGTCCTGAATGAAGACGTTAGTGTCTCACTGGGGCTCTTCAGTTGTATCGCTTGTTATCCCAAGTCGTGTGTTTCCAGGCCTCTGTGGTTGTGCATCTGGGTCCCAGTTAGGTACTGTTATACCAGATTCCCCTGCCATCCCTAGCAAATCTGTCTTGGTTAAAATGTTGTGATTAAGGGCCTCAAAGTTCTCAGGTTGAAGGATTTCACATAACGGTCCAACCATTGCCCTTGCTTTTTAGACAGGCCCTCAGCCACACCTAGCTTTAATTTAGCCTCTTCCCCATATTTATTCAAACCCTTTCTCTTCTTGAAAGCCTAGTGCAAACACTACTCTTTCCAAGGACCCTCTCCAAGGACCGCCCTCCCTCCATCATCAGAAGCTCTTAGCAGCTATTCTATTAGACAAACAATTCATTTGTCTACCCTTCTTTCTCTTTTAGGGCCACCCCTTCCCATTTTCTACTGAAAATATCTGTCTCCCATGTTAGGTCACTTGGGGCCCTTCTCAAGGGCGTTTGCTTTTTAAAAATGTATCAGAGAGTACTGCAGTCAATCTTTCTCCGGAGTGTAAGGAGCATCAGGAGCCAACAGTCCTCCCAGGAGGAGGCGCTATTCTGCACTGAACGTCAGTGAAACCCCAGTGGCAGAGAGGACCCTGGCTCATGAGGTCCCAAGGCTTAGTTACCCCCAAACATGCCCATGAGGGGGATCCAATCCTGCTTTGGATTCCATGAGGCAATTTTCCCCCAAGCCGGTTTGAATTGGGTTTCTATTATTTGCTGAAAGAAAGCAAAGTGTACTTCGTGTGGATTTTTCTTTTCTTCCTAAAAACAATGAATTATAGGAAATATTTATCTAAGCAGCATGGTCTTATGGAAAACACACTCTGAAGAGAAACTAGACATTATTTTCAATGCCTCTCCAGCCACACACCTAATCTTAGAGAGGCCATTTCTTTAATTCTGTAAAAGAAGGGGTAATGCCTACATGTAAGAGAATGAGGATTTAAATGATTTCCCAAGAATGTAAATGAAAGTGCCTGGCAGATAGTAGGCAGGTAGGACATAGCCCGTTTCCTTCTTTTCTTCTTGAAGCCAATTCTCGGTCTTTCAGTGAACTCAGAAATAGGAATTGAATTTTACCAGCTGTAAACGTTTTGGGGGCCAAGAGGAGGAACAAATGAAATGTCAGGTGAATTAACAATTATATAAGCATTAAGTTGAAATGTGAATGGCCCCTTGCAGTGCAGTAAATTACTTAATATGACCCCTGAGCTATACTTTTTTGTGTCTCCTATCAAATGACTGGGTCGAGGACTCATGCAAATGAGGTGTTTGTGGGCCACCACAGGAACTGGATAGCTTGCTAATAATGTAAATAAGATGCATGGCATCTCTGCAGGGGTGGGACCATACAAATATGGTATATGAAACCCTCCCGAGGGGACTGGTCAGTTGTGTCATCCGCTAGGCTTAAATAAGGGGCCAT